CCCTCCCTCCCCCCCCGGGCCCCCTTCCCACCCACAACCCAAAAGAAATTGGCAAGGGCCTCGCGCACACAATCGATGCGACCCTCCTTGCGCGTGGTGTGCCCAAGTCCCCGGGGGGGGGGGGGGGGGGCTTGAGCGAAGACTCTCTCTTCAGGCGCGCCGTCGACGAGGCCCGTGACGGTGAACACGCCGCCGATGATGGCGCACAGCTGCGTGAGGAAGGACGCCAGCGACTTGCGCTCCGTCTGCACCAGCACCTGCATCGGCGACATGTCGTACGAGAAGACACTTCCTAGACACTTCCTAGACACTTCCTTGTTCACACCTGCATCGGCGACATGTCGTACGAGAAGACGGCCGACGGGAGCGAGCCGCCGTCCTGGTAGTTGTTCGAGTTTGCGGTGTACTGGTACGTGTCGATCTGCCGCCGGCCGAGCACGTGCGAGGTGTGCACCACCTGGCACGCCGGGCGGGGGCGTGCTCAGCGAAGGTGGCCTCGCTGCTGCTATGTGCTGCTGCTGCTGCAGCTGCTGCTGCTGCTGCTGGCGCTGGCCGCAGCATCTGCTGGCGCGCGCTGGCCGCTGCTGCTGCTACTACTGCTGTTGTGCTGCTGCTGCTAGTACCTTCGCGTGGCACACCGTATGGACAGTGCGGGGAGGCAGCGGTCTTGCTGAAGAGCGGGCAGCGAGCAGCAGCGGGATGGGGAGGTGCGGCGGTGGGGGCGTGGCGGTGGTGGTGGCGCGAGGGGACGGGGGAGGGGGAGGGAGAGGGAGGGAGGGGGGCGGGGGGGGGGCCTTGAGGTAGTGCTCCAGCGTGGTGTTTTGGCCCGTCGCGACGTGCAGCGTGCGGGCGAGCACGTCGTGCGCTGCGGCAACGTCGTCGGGCAGGAGCCGCAGCATGGCCGGCGTGAGGGGGCGGCCGAAGGTCATGCGGCCGATCTCGTGCGTCATGTTGAGCTGTCCGGGCTGGAACGAGTGGGCCTTGGAGTGGGCCGAGATGTGGAAGTTTCCAGGCACGCGGTTGACGAGCACCACTCCCTTGACAAGGCAGCCCTCGCCGACCCCGCCCACCTCCGACTCTCCCGAGCGGACTGCCTCCTCGTGGTCGTCATCGTGCACGTTCTCCTCGACGAAGCGCTCGAGCGCCTCGTGCGTACGGTCGCCGACGTACGACTCGTGCGAGACGGCGGCGTGGTGGCGGTACACGCGCACCGTCGGAAAAGCGTGGATATGCTGCTCGCGGCAGAGGTTCGCGCCGGCGCCGGTGCAGTCCGCCTTGGCCATCAGCACGTCGCGAGCAAACGGCTTCTGCATCACGTTGGCGTACGCCTCCTCCCACACGGGCTGAAGCCTCCGCGACCACGGGCACCACGGCGCGTAATAGTTGACCAGCACGAGCTTCCGCGAGCGCGCCGCCTCGCGCATGCCGTCGACGTCGAGCTCCGGCGACACCTTGGGCACCGGCACGCCTAGGTCGACGCTCCGCGCGACCGCGTGCTCCACAGGCCGTGGTCTCGCCGCTGCTCGGCCCAGAACGCCGCCGTCCGCGTCAAGCCTGCAGCGGTGGGTGAGGGCGGTGGGTGAGGGGGTGGGGGGGGGGGGGGGGGGGAGACGTAGGAGAGGCGAAGGAGAGGCGAAGGAGAGGCAAAGGAGAGGCGTGGCGACGCACGAGCCGCGGCGTGGCGCAGCGGGCCAAGGGGAGGTGGTGGGGATCATGATGGCGCTGCCGCGCACCGGGTCTTGACGATGTTTGCGGATACGTTCTGCAGGTGTGTGCCCATCACGTCGGCGATGTCTACCGAGGCGAAGCGACAGGGCAGGTGGTGCAGCGTCACGTTGAAGTTGATCTGGATCTTCTTCTCCTGTGACTCATCGAGCCGCACGCTCGTGACTGTCTCGATCTGCAAAAAGCTGCGAAAGTTGGAGACAAAGAGGTAGGCCATGGCGAGCGACGAGAGGAGAGAGATGGTGCCTCCCGCGAGGGTCGCCTCCGTAAGATCCGCTGGCACCTTGCGATAAAAGTGAACCGATTTGAGCCACTCCATGATGCTTTGCAGTCTGGCGCCGGCGTGCTGGCGTAAGGGAATTTCTTTTTTCTTTGTGAATAGCTCCGCCGTTCAGGAGGCAACCGATGCGAGTCGACTGGTGTGTGTCGTCGTGGTTTCGTATCAAGAATACTCACCCACACTTTTTTTCTTTTCAGCAATTCGTTCCTAACATGGGACGACCGCGAGGTGGCATGGGTTGCAGCGAGAATCGGCGAGAGACTGAGGGCCCAACTTCAGAAGTATGGTTCTTGCACTTGTGCAAGATTGGGCGTCTTCTGCCGCAGTCCCTTTGATGCCGAACAAACACAAATCTTGATGCCGTGGCGCGTGGGGGCCACCTCGAACCCCTAGCCAGGGATTCGAGCGGAGGGTGCCCCGGATTCATCTATCCGTCGGGCCCCGGTACATTCATTAGAACTGATCACTTTGTGCAGCAGCCGTCCCTTCGCCGACTGGACGGCAGTGCGCTGCGCTGTCGCTCTGTCGAGCACGCTCTCGTGCTTCGTTGTGGCCCACCCTGTCCCACCCGTGTGTGATCAGTGTCTACGGAGGGGAGTGTCTTTGGCTCACGCCAGGGCGCTCGTTGCTCCTCCCTCTCTTTGTATCTTCCATACTGCGTTTATGTGAGTGAGTGAGTGAGTACACACACACACACACACACTGCGTTTATCAGAAGATTCGTGCTTTTTGGCGTTGGGTTGGGTTGTTGGGTACCCTTGGGTTGTTTCGCGTGAGGGTGCGGCCGGGGTGGGGCGCGCGGGGGGGGCGGCGGGTGTGCGGGATGTCTGTGGGCCCGAGAGCGATATGCCATGTCCGCCTTGGCCCTTGCGGTTGTTTCATCACATCGAAGGCTAAGAATAGAAAATAAGTTTTTATTCGACACAGAAAACCGAGCGTCCTTCCCGGCAGCGACTCTTGGGAAGGATCTCGCAAGCAGCCTCCCCAAACAATGACCAGGACGGAGGCGCGGACCGGCCAGCCGCGTCAGCCGCGGTCAACGGAGCGGGATGCCGCGATCGCGCGCCGGCAGCAGGCGCTGGCAGCCAGGACGGCGCCCAGGGATAGGAACATGGCCAAACGCCAAGCGGGGCCGTCCACCGAGGCCCTGGCCCACAAGATGCCAGCGGAAGAGCCGCCGCGTCTCGCTGATCCCGGCCCTGGATGTGAGGTTACTGACTGCACTCCAAGTGCTCCAAGTGCCCCAACGTCGCGGGCGCAGATTTGTTTTTTATTTTTTAACTTCGGAGTGTGCTGTCATCCATGTGAGAGAGATATTGTCTTGTTTTTTTTGTCCATGTGTCGTTTCCAAAAATCTCTCTCTCTCTCAAAACACGCAAGGTGAAGAGAGAGAAGTGAGTATTCTCTTTGTTTGTTTTTTAAGCCAATTGTATTCTCTACACTCACGCAAGGTGAAGGTCACCCTCTCTCGAGTTGTCGAGTTGCTACAGTGCTACACCCACACCAGGGCGGCGAGCCCATGCCGCATCATGCGCGGGCCGGTTTTCTTTTTTTCTTTTCGCCTTGAATGAGGACACTTACCTGCCGCGGCAAGTGCTCGCAGCTGATGCTCGCAGCAATGGTGATGCTCGCGCCCGCCGCGCCGCCGCCGCCGCCGCCGCCGCCGTTTTCGCCACTGCCGCCGGCACAAACGTGGTCAGAATACCTCAGGCGGTGGTCGCCGGCGAGTTACTCGTCTCTCGGCTCTCTTGTTCGCTGGAAGAACTCACCACCGCCGCCACACTCGCCGCTGCCGCCGCCGCTTGCGCCCCGACGAGCGTCACCGCCGCCGTCCACGCCGCCGCCACGAGCGCCGCCAACGCTGCCCTCGCCAGCGCCTCTGGCCTTGACGCGCCGGATCTTTGCCTCGCCATCGGGCATGTGCCGCACTCGAGAGGGCGACGGCGTCTACAGCGAGATCTGGGAGCTCTCCCAGTCCCAGTGCGAGGCTCGCTGTGTCGTGGACGGAGGGTGCGTCGCCTATGAGCACAGCACCTTCCCGCGAGGCGGGGCGCGAGGCGGCGCCTACACCAGGTGCGAGCTGCACACCGTGCCGGTGACGCACACCGTCCCAGCCTCGTTTCCCGTCGTCTGCCGCGTGCTGCAGCCCGCCTCCGCCAATCCGCCCTCGAGGGGGCGAGGCAGCAAGCGCCCCGGCAGCCAGACGCGGCAGCGGGGCGCAGAGTCGTCGTCGCTTCCGCTCCCCGCCGCCCGGTACGCCTTTTCCAGCTTCGTCACCCCGACGCCCCGGCTCGCGGCGGCCTTCCTAGTCGACTACCTGGGCGCAACCCTGCTCGAGGACCCGCGCACGTTTCAGACTCGCGCGGCCGCGCACGGCAGGCTTGTGGCGGCAGTCCGCTTCCGGCCCGGCAGCACGAGTCAGGCCACGCAGGCGCTGCGGGCCGACACGCGTCACCTGAACGAAGGGCCGCACGACGTCTACTTCGTCAGGAGCGACGAGCCGCCCGCCTCGGAGGGCAGCCTCCTCACCGCCGAGCGGCTCGCCGACGAGATGTCAAAGGTGCACCGCTTCGGCGTGCAGGAGACGTGGGACTGGTGGCAGGACTGGCACCTGGCGCTGTGGACGGAGAACCTCGACGCGGTGCTGGTCAGGCTGCTGCGCGACGGTGTGCCCTTCGTGACGCGCGGCACGTCTGCGTACGTGGAGATACCCAGGGGCATCACCTTCCAGCTGCAGGGACTCAACATGAGTCTCGCCGCGACCGAGCCCTTTAACTTTTGCCGAGCCACGACCCCAACCTCGCGCCTCCCGACCCCACCGCCGGGCGCGTGGCGCTCCGCAGTGAGGCCGGACGCGCCGCTGCCGCCGATCCCGCACCTGCAGGCCAAGCACCTCGCCCTGCCGACCGACACGCCGGAGGCGGCGCTGCAGCACTTGCAGCGCTTCATCGGCGGTGAGGGGCTCGGCGACGTGCTCGCCTTCCTGCAGCCGCGCTCGCACCGGTTCTCCAACGGCGAGTGCGCGATGCTCAAGTGGCAGCGCCTCGCCGACTTCGACCTTCACTTTGTGCACCAGTTCTCAAAGACGGACCAGCCGAGCGGCGGCTCGACGGCGAGCGTGCGCGACGTGCAGCGCCGCCTGGTGGCGGGGCACGCAAAGCACGCGGGCGAGGACGTGGGGCAGGTCGCCCTCGCGGACCCCGCGCTCTCGACGTTTCTCGGCAACGGGCTCGGGCTGCGCGTGAGCAGTCTCGAGCCCTTTCGCGCACGGCTCGACGCGGCGCGCGCGCCATACTACGTCCACTCGGGCGACAGCTCGCAGACCCGCCGCAGCCTGTACGTGCCGCTCGCCACAGGATTCATCGTGGAGCTGCAAGAGGAGAAGTGAGACTCCGAGGCGAGGACTGCGCCCTTTGTTGAGAGGGGACTGCCGGAGTTCTGCGCCCTTTGTTGAGAGGGGACTGCCGGAGTTCCCTCGCGCCTCGCGCCCCGCCTCTCCGCCGGACTCCGCCCCCGCGGTGCACCCAATTCCCATGTATTCAGTTATACGGGCTCACGGCATGAATGACGTATGTACACACCTCTCAGTCGGACCCGCGTCCAGTGCGTACAGTTTCAGAGTTACTAGAGCTAGCCGTACCTTCAGCAATGTATACGGTATCTATTCAATTATTGCATAATATTGATTGGGCTTTGGGGTGCTAGAGAGCGGGACCCGGCGGGGTCGACGGTGTGCGTGCGGTGCCGGTGGCGCACACGCAGCGGCCAGCGCGTATCGATATTACTCTCTCCGTCATGTCATCGGTCAAGCGTCACGCTCGGTCTTTGCTCATACATCTCCCACCTGATACTGTCACGTGTCAGTCCGTCCCACTGGGACACGAGACTCGAGCGAGAGCCGAGCCCCGTCACGCCCGAGACGACTCACGTGTCACGAGTGAGACGACCACCCCCGTCAGAGCAGATCTCACGACCACAGTACATAGAGATTTCACTCCCTGCATTCAGCCGGCTGGGCTGCTCTGCCGCACTGGCGGCGCGACCTGTCCGTCCGACTGCGACACGCAGTCGTTGACCCAGAGGCGCGCCGACTCGATGTCGGTGAACACTCGTGCAGGCTGGACAGGGGATAGGCTGCGAACTGCAAACGCAAAGCTTCTCCGCGACAGTACTCCGCCCGATATGATAAAGGCGACGCAGCGCACGCGCCCCGCGGCCGCGATGTCACTCGCGTCGTCCAGAACCGCGCGGCCATCCAGCGAAGTCACGTGGACACGGCGCAAGTCGTGCACCTAGCCGAAGTTCGCCTGGTGTGCTCGGATGGCTCTCCCGGCGTCGGCGTACGCTGCGTCGAAAGCGGCGCCCGTGCAGCGCTCCGGATAGCGTAGGGTCAGCATCGCGGGCGAAACGTCCAGCGTCGGTTGCTCACCCACGGCACCGGGCCGGTGCTTGCACTTTGAATGCCGTGGGGCTCCTGGTCCTGCCCGTGTCCGGGCGTGGAGATGCGAGGGTCTCGCCCCCCCTTGGCCTTGCTTCACCACTTTGTGTGTGTGGAGACGTTTACCTTACAACCTTACCAGTTACCTTACCACGTGCGAACACAGGAATAAGTGCGCAGCGACCCGTCATTCCGTAGGATTCCTCGAACACATTCCTCTAGTCAAGGCGTGGGGGCGCAGTGTGAGCTCGATGGTTGTGTTCCAATTTTCCGTGGAGCCATATCTAAGAACCTGGGAGCAGCAGGCATATAGCTGAGGGGCACCGCGAACACAGGCTGGGAGCCAGAGCCTTGCGAAGAGTGGGCGAAAGCCCCACCGCTCGCGATCGCCGCGATGAGGCAGACGAACACGGTGCAGAGCATGTTAGGCCAGCAGAACATGGGCCACGAGCCGGAGTCGGAGACGGATCCCTCCGTCGTGACCGTCGCGCCCTGAACAGGGGCGAGGGGCCGTCAGAATGGGTGTGAGCTACGGTTTAGGGGATGGCCGGCGCATGCAGGCGGCGAGCGCCGAGTCCGTGGTCGACGGCGTGGAGCCGCGGGGCGCCTTGCCGATGCCACCGACAGACTCGGGCGAGACAGACTCGCCCTGCGGCGCGCGCGACGCGCTGTCAAGTAAACGCGGGGCAGTGTGTGTGTCTGTGAGGAGCGGGCGCACACCGAGGACTCCTTGCCCGACTTCGCGCCCTTCTCCCTCCCCTTCTTCTCGTCGACCTCGTCGATCTCCGCCGCGACGTTCGTCTCGACGTCGTCGAGCAGATCGTACTTGTTGGAGACCTTCTTGGACTTGACCTCGCCCTTGTTGCGCCCGTTGTTGCGGCGCGGGTTCGACGGGGTCGTCCAGTCGGCGATGCCGTCGACCAGGTTGGACTCGCCCTTGCGCTCGATCTTGCGGAGCGGGGAGGGGGTCTTCCACTCGTCGATGCCCTGCGCCCGCGTGACGTGCGGCAGACGAGAGGTCACAGGGTCAATGCAAGTGCCCGCCTGTAGGACTCGCGTGTCCCCACAATACCCGCGTGTGCACAGAAGGGTGCTGGGAGGTGCTCACCGCCGGGGCGGGCTCCTCCTCTGGTAACTCCTTGGTCGAAACGTTCCAGTCGGCGTCGCCCTACGCGTCGAACGCGGGATGGGGTCACAGAGTGGGCCGGCAGACGCCGGCGCGCAGAATGCCAGGCGCTCGCCCCCGGGGCGGGCTCCTCCTCCGGAAACTCCTTGATCGGCGGCACCGGCGCGCCGCCGGCCGCCGCCGGCTTGAGGGCCGTGACGACCTTGGTGACCGGCTTGAGCGCCGGGTCGATCTTGATGGCGCCGGTCGCGTCAATGCCGTCCTTGAGCGGGCCGGGCTCGCCCTCGGTGCCGGTGCCGGTGCTGGCGGTGCCGGTGTCGATGCCATGCTTGAGCGAGACGGGCTCGGAGGGGATGCCGACGGCGTTGCCGCCAGATTCGATGACGGTCGTGTTGTCCGCCAGAGACGCCTGTCAGCCACAGAACGAGAGAGGGTCGTCTTGCAGGGAAGGCGCAGCGTTGCATGCGTTGCAGCGGCGCGCGCGTGCATACCCCCTCCCTCAGCCACTGCAAATTAACGCACACCTGCTTGTCAGCGAGCGGCGGCGGAGGAGAGAGCTTGAGCACGAGCTTGTTACCGGCGGCCGGCACGAACTCGAGTTTGAGCATGTTGATCGAATGAATTCCTGCAGAGAGGCAAGAAGCGGTTGAAGGTGGTGTCCCCGATGGGGGGTGCAGGCCAGCGCTCGATGGGGGGTGCAAGCCAGCGCTCAGATCTCGGGGAACATCCCCACGAAACGATCAGTCGCGCGATCTCGAGCCCGCCCGCCACCCACCCACCCAGCCCCGCAGCCCCCCCGCCAACCCGCCCCCCTCGCCCTCGCCTACACAGATAAAAAGAAATTCAGCCGGCGGCTGCACAAAAAATGGTGCTGCCCAAGGGCATGTGCATGCTGAATGGGAAGAGAGGGCGAGCCGGAGAGAGGAGAGCCGCGCCTACGGGCAGCACGCCGCGGCGTGAGCGTCGAGACGAGGCCGCCGGCACGCTCTCTCGCGTCCTCGGCGCTCGGACTGGAGCCGGGCGGCGATTGGCGAGCAAGCGAGAGCGGGTACATCGATGTAGGTCACGAGGCCCCGCCGTGCAGGGCGCTACGGGCTCCGGCCGGACGTGGCAGCGGCGGAGCGTCGCGACTCCGCCCTTTTTTCGCCCAACACGCTATCCACCGTCACCGACCCTGCCGCCAGCGCCGCGGCTTCGCGCCGCGCGCGCTCACGCTAGGACGCTCGCTCACCGCATCTCGGTTTGCGCATTGAGCTCTGAGGCCCCCATCACGCCAGGGATCCACGGCCTGTGAGGCGTCCCGCCGGAGGCCAGGATTGAGGCACCTGCGCCGTCGACTCGGCGAGACCCTCGCCATCACCAGCCTCTACCTGGGAATACCGCTCGGGTGGGACGTACGGCGGGGTCTCGGCCTTCCGAGGCGATGCACCACTCAGCGCCACAGCGCCGTGGCCCAAATTCGGCGCTGATGCAGCACTCAGCGGCCGGCGGGGTCGAAGCCAGCAAAGCGGGCCAGTGACTCAGGAACGACAACGAGTGAAGAGGATGGTTTCGTCAGTTCTGGAGGGCGGAGTATTTCAACCTCGCTGACGCGGCGGCCGGCGCCCTTGCGCCTTGGGGCTGTGATCCTGCAATCTGTGCGGTGCATTGTCAGTTTGTCTTTTTCGGTTTTTGTAACGTCTACGACATTCACGTAACGACATAAAAAACGTTGTAAAACTGTACAGTAATCAAAGTCCAAAAGGAAAGACGAGACATTGTGATTGTAATACGGTAGCTGTAAGGAAGTCCACCCGAGAGAGAGCAAGCTACACCTATAGCCTCCAAGCCAAATCGTCTTCACACGTATATTTTTGTCATGCGAGTTGCGATGCGCGCGACGCTCTCGGCGTCAGAATGGCTTCCACACGCCGAGCACAGCGCCGTCCTTCCACCAGCCGAGGTCGTGTTGATAGAGCGCGAAGGTGGCCTTGAACTCGTTGAACGTGATGACGCCGTCCGACGGGTCCGTGTCCAGGCGCTCCATCACCCGCGTCAGCATCGTCTCGAGCGCCTTGGTCGTCAAATGAGTCGATGCCGAGCATCTCGAGCGCCTTGGTGCTGAAGAAGGACGTCTCGAGGAGGTCGGCCTCGGTCTGCCGGACGGCCGACTTGAACTCGTCGAAGGACACCACGCCATCGCTGTTGGTGTCCATTTTCTTGGCCGTCCAGGTCATGAGGAGCTCTACGAGCGCTCCGGCATTCGTGTAGAAGCTGCTCCCGTCCGAGCCGGCCAAGCGCTTGGCGAGCGCATCGGTCGGGATGCTGGTCTCGCCCGGCACGCACATCCCCTCGAAGAGCTCCTTAAGCTTCGGGTCGTTGAGGCCCTTCGCTCCCAGACGCTCCACATCTTCTGACGTCAGCGAAGACAGGCTGCGACGCGGCATCATGGCAGCGACGACGGTCGCCGGGCGGAGCGGCGGTGAGGCGCGAACGAGACTCGAGGCGAAGCGCGCCGAGCGAGCCGAGGAGCGAGACATGAGGCCCGAGAGCGCCATGGCCGAGGGACAACACAGACGCCGACGCATCTTTCTCAGGGTGCGACCTTTGTGGGATGGTGCCAAGCTCATTGCTGGGTCCTCGCCGTGTGTACGACGGCGAGCACGCCCCGCTGCCGTTCGAGGAGCTAAAGTCGTCGGCCACCTCGCATCCGGACTCAGGGGGCATGGACGCGTTCCTCCCTGGGGGTCAACTCGAGCGGCCCCTATCTTGGCTCGGCCGAGCACGCCTGCCAGCGGGCCAGCGCACCTTCGAGTACTTACGGCAACTACCCCCGCCGCGGTCTTGAGCCCGCCGCGCGCAACCCGCATCCGCAGCAGGACTGCCTGCAACCGACGTGCAGCCCCACTACCTTCGATTGTGGGGGCAGGGATTGAGGACCCCTGTGCTATTTGTCCCGAGATATGTGGTGTTACTCGACTAGAGCCGTACGTCGCGACTCGTCGAGAGGGGGGACGTCTGGCCCCTCGAGAGGGCGGCCGACTCTGCAGCCGAGGCTGCTCCTGCTCAGAGGGGCCAGCCACCGCCAACGGCGGCGCGACCTTGCGGTGAGCGAGGTGGGGGCCGCCGTGCCGGGGTCCGCGCCCCTCCCGGAGGGTGAAGGCATGCCCGCGGTAGTGTGCGTTGCCTGCGTGCTCCAGGGTGCATTGGGCTCCACTCCGTTATGCCCGCCGAGGGGCGGTGGCCCATCGGCCGGCGGGGTGGAGCTCCGGTCTTGCTGCTTGCCCATCGATGCTGCGTCGGCCTTGCGGCCGGGCTATGCACTCGAAGGGGAGGGTGGGCGTGGACGCGGTGGCGTCCAAGCCCGGTGTTGCCAAGAAGTGTTGTCGCTCACGCGACGGGTCTTACGCTTACGTTTGCTCAAAGGGGGGGGGCTGGGGTGAATACGACACTCTGTCGCACTCACGGACTGAAGTCAGGAGACCGCCGGCGGCCCGAGACTGAACGACAGGGCCCGTACCGGGCCCTCACACGACTCTCGTGTGGCGTTCAGAGAGATCGCTACACACAATGGGACCGCCCGTCCTCCTCAATTCGATTATCGGGACCCCCGGGGGTCGTTACATGCGCCTTGTCACTCCGGTGCGAGCTCCATTCGCGGCTCCAATCGCCCCAAGTCACCACGGAGGACTGAGTGTCCAAAAACCCTCCTCCGTGACAAGGTCACACCGCGGGCGGCGGCTGGGGGCTCCGCGAGACAGCACGCGCCTGGTACTGCTTGCAGATGACCTCCCAGTTGGGGGTGTGCATCTCCCTCGCCCGGTGGTTGTCGAGACAGCGATTCAAAAAGAATAAAGGCCGGCAGGTGGGACAGAAAAAGAATTCTCTCGCACAGCACACAGGTTCGACACAGGTACCAAAAGAGGCACAGCCTGCGACGGACCTTTAGAAGGCGCCGTCGTTTAGAGAGAAGAAGAAGAAAATGCGGTCATCACCCGGTCGGCACCCTTGTGTCGGGACGCCACGTCGTGATCTCGCCCCTTGTGGTCAACACTGAGGTCGCCAACTGTGGACGCCAGCAGCTTACCTTTGGCTTGCTATTGGCATGCCTCTGGCTTGCCTCTGGACGACTCGGTCATCCGTCCTCGGACAGCTCCACCTCAGGCCCAATGCCTTGGCGGCGGCGGGTTGGGGAGCTGTCTCTCTGGGCGTCACGTTGCATACTGTCTTGCACGTGGCCCCAGTGGAGGTCTGCCCATGTGGGCCGGCCTCTTCCATGCCGCACCAGTACGGTTCCTGCGCTGCCTGCATTGCAATCGACATTGTGGCGGCATATGCGGCGGCATTGTGACGGAACGTCTGGGTGCGGCGGAACGTCGGCTCGAGAGGGCCCATCGCCGACGATATGATGCGCCTGCCCCACTGGCATGGGATCAGGGCGAGATGTCATCACGCGAGATTGCGCACGACTCGGACGATGGGGTTGAGCAAGCGGCCCAAAGTTGCGAGCCGACGGCGACGCGTGCTTTCGGCGTTTACGTTTTGATAATGATATGCTTGCTGTTCCCCTCTCCTCACGTTGAAGGATAACCTTCATAGCAGGCTATGTCCAATGAGCTTGTTGTGTCTGTGTGTCGCTCGTGTGTGTCGTCATCATCTGTCTCGCGTCCACCCATACCGCGCTGGTGTCCAGTCCGAGCCTGATTGTTCTTCACCTTCCTACATACATACATACAACCCCGTTCACGTTCACAGAAGGTGATCAGAGACAAGTTCACGCTTGGGGACCCGCTGTGTGCGGGGTGGGCCCCTGCCCAGAGACGACGGCAAGAAACCAAGGATGAAAGAAACAAGCGTCGCATATCACTCTCCCGCCCTCTGCGGAGCTCAGCGCCAGCGTGCGCCGCGGTAGCGCAACCGGAGCTGGCGCCTCACCCAAGGCGGCACCATACGTGTCCGTCGTGCGTTGTGGTGCCCCCAGCACGACTCGTTGGTTCGGCTAAAATGCCGCGCCAGCTCCACGCCCGGGTCCTTCTCGATGTCGATGACCAATGCGCACTGGCGTCCCGAAAGCGCTTTGCGGACGCGCCTCTCGTGCCGCAGGTACCATGTGCGCAAGCCGGACTCGTCGCGTGGGCGTATGGGGCAACGGGTGATCATACTCCCCAGCAGGGTGACCCCATTGGGGAGGCGCCACCCTCGGAGGCTCCTAATCCAGTGATCAACCGGGCGCGTCGTCTGAACGAAGCACGCCTCTGGGAAGAAGCGCAGCAAGTGGTCGAGGTGGTCGACTTGCGGGAAGACGCACCGGAAAGCGTCGTTCACCTCGGCGAGCACGTCCGCCGGCGTACCCAGCCTCGCCCGCAAGATGGCATCGGCATTGACTGTGCTCTGGCTCTGCGCAAATGCGAGGGTTGCGAGCATCGCGTGGGTCAGCGTGCCCCAGTCGTGCCGGGAGCACCAGCCCGAGCAGCGAAAGAATTCGTGCAGTGAGGTCGTGCCGCTCTTTGCGAGCCCAAGGTTGATCACGAGCGGCCGTTGAGGCAGCGCCGAGTAGTTTTCCGGGCATTCATACAGAGATGGAGAGTTTCCCATCGCAAGACGCGCGCTCGAGTTTCCAGTCTCAAGACGGAGCTCGAGCATGGTACGTGTGTCGGCCGCCTCTGTACCCCTGTCCACCCCACACGTGTATGTGTTTTTTTTGAGCTAGCCTTCGCCAAAAACGTGAATGCGAAGTGAATTTCTTCTTCTCACGCGCCGCTGCTCAGAAGAACCGGGCTCGCCCGCTGTGACCAGCACCTCTCACATGTCGCGCTCCCCTCGCGCCGCACGCACCGAGGAGGACGCCCCGCCCACGGACAGACTGGCCGAGCTGCCGCACGAGCTGCACCTCCGTGGGCGCCGTCGTAAAAAGAATTTTCGGAAGCGAAGAAGAAAATGCGTCATCACCAGGGCACCTCTCGAAGCTTGCTTGGTCATGTTGGTGGGCAGCAAGGCGAGCTCTCGCACCCGCCCGTGTCGAAGTCCCGCTTGCGCCCGTTCCTCCGTCCGTCCGCCACGGCCGCGCTGCAGCAGCGCCGCCGCCTCTCCTCCGCCTCCACCCTCCAATGCTGCAAAGCGCAGTTGCCCTGGCCTCGCTGACAGCAGGGCGAGCATTCCGCTATTGATCCTCACCGACACGTCGCCGCCCCGCGCGCCGCCGCAGGCGCTCCGCTCCGCTCGCGGCGTGGCGCCGCCGCACGTGAGGCACATGAAGGTGCTCGTCGGCGTGAAGCGCGTCATCGACTACGCCGTCAAGATCCGCGTAAAGCCGGACAAGTCAGGGGTGGAGACGGCGAACGTGAAGATGAGCATGAACCCGTTCGACGAGATTGCCGTCGAGGAGGCCGTGCGGCTCAAGGAGGCGAAGATCGCCACGGAGGTGATCGCCGTCTCTGTTGGCCCGACGGCTTCGCAGGCACGCGCCTTCAATCATCGGCTGCTCCCTCCCCCCCCCCCCCCCCCGGGGTTCCCTAGCCGGGGTTTCCCGTGGGCCAAGCCAATTGCCCCCCCCCCCCCCCACACCCCACACACACACATACACCCACCCACCCACACCCTATGCCGCTGCGTCGCTCCGCAGGTCGAGACGGTCGACGAGCTCGTGGACAAGCTCAAGAACGAGGCCAAGGTGATCTAGGTTTGCTAGATCGAGGCTGGCCCCACTCGCTGGTTTGCGGCAGCCTCTCCTGCCCATTGCCCCAGTGGAGCGGTGCGGGTTGCTGCAGAGGGTGCGGTGTTACTCTCCGGCGGCGTCGAGGTCGCGCACGTTTTCTCATTATTCAGGTTTGCTCGTGCGTGTGTGTGCCCCGACCGGTCTCTGTCACGTGGCTCGTGCGCGCGCCCCTGTTGGGGACGCTGCAGCCTCCAGCTCTGTGAAACGCTCTTCCTAACGTCGCCCCCCATTATTTCGTATTCGCCACCCGCCCCCACCGACGCGCGACGGACGGACGCAACACAGCGGGAGCGAGCCGTGTGGGGACGGAAAGGCCGCCCAGCAAGCGCGCAACGAGCGCCACACGTGTGGCGGGAGTGGACTCGGTCTGTACGGTATGTCGATCGGCTCGCTGGCGCGTCGTGCTTATACAACATCCACAAGCCCCGAAATGAGAGGAGCTCTCTGGCCCTGGGCCTGGCCACACGACTTGCGGCGCACGACTGGGGACTCTCGAGAAGCGTCCACACAGACAATCACACACGATACCCGGTTTCTCTCCATCCTCCATCGGGGGAGGCTACATCCGTTTGGGTGGGCAGCGCTACTTATTGGAATGGCTGGCAGGAAGTCCTCTGGCAGTCGCGCGTACAGATGAACGGCTCGCCATCCTTGCAGGTGCACCTCGAGGCGATGCATGCGCACTCCTCTCCCGCTTGGCAAACGCTTGATGCGTTTGTCGAGCTGCAGAAGAGCGTGTCTTCGGGCGGCCAGCTCCACCCATCGCACGCGCCACTGAGCTCGCGCCCCGGTGCGGCCAAGGTCGAGTGACAGAGGGCGACCACAGCGAGCATTAGAGGTTGCACGGCGGGGTCGCCACAAGGAGCGAAAGGTGCTTCAGCTGGTTTTTTGTTTTTCTTTTCTTCACTCGCCGTCGATGTTACGAAACACAAGGCGGACACACGCATGGCATATCGCTCTCGGGCCCACAGACATCCCGCACACCCGCCGCCCCCGCGCGCGCCCCACCCCGGGAGAAAGGGGACTGAGGGAGGGTGTAGAGGATGTAGATAGGTAGGGCTGAGGGAGGGTGTAGAGGATGTAGATAGAGTGTAGAGCGCTGTAGAGCTGTAGAGCTGAGCTGCCCACCCCAGCCAGGACAATGAGCGGTGGTCGTCCGGATGAACGCGCCCGCGTGATGATAGGCGTCCCCAGACAGATCGCAGCCAGTCGTGCCTTTTGGCGTACCCCTTTTGTTTGATTTGTACCCGCGTCCTGTGCCCCCGACATAGTTAGAGGCTGCGCAGGCCGTCCCGTTTGCTGTTTGCATAAAAAACGCCTGTTGCGCTGCGCGCGCGCGCCGGGGCTCTGTCTCACTCACGTGCCGCAATATGTGTCGGGGCATCTCGCCGAAATTCTTCCTATGCTGGGAGGCGCCGCTTCGCTCCGTTGAGAAGATAGCCCCTAAAGAAAAACGGCCGTGAAGCATTTGTTTCCGTAAAAGGAAGAATTTCACCACAAAGGAATGAAGTAAAACTCGCGAGAAAAAAGAAATCTCAGGTAGCGAGGGCACTTTTATCCGCAAGAGCACTACGCCTCAGCGGGTTCGTACTAGCGCAACCAAACTCCACATGGGTACTCACGGAAAGATGTGAGGGCCGCACTCGACCACAACTGTTGGCAGCGGCAGCGAGGAGGTGGAGCTGGCACTCGAGTCTTCCTGCACGCCGCCCTGTTGTGAGTTCTGCCGTGGTCCTCTCGGGTGCTGCAGCCCATATCTAAAGCGCGCGTGGGCGGCATCTCGGAGACGCGCCACCGCGATGCGGCGGCGAAGGAGCTGCCACTGCCGCCGCAGTATCCCCGCGCTGCACGGTGCCGCTCCCATGCCACGCAGCACGAGGTGCAGGCTCACCGGGCGGTGCTCTGTCGACGGGTAGAGCGGCACCGCCACCGTGTCGTAGAGCTTGTACGGCGACCGCTGCAGGACCTGCGGCGTCTGCTGAATGAAGTGCCGGAACGGGCGGCCACCGCAGCTAGGGTCCTGCTCGTGGACAAGCACGATGGCAATGCGCCGGTCCATCGCCGCTTGCACGAGGCGAGCGACGGTGCCGCCCGCATCGAGAAAGGTCTTATCGTTCAGGTAGAGCAGGAGGACGTAGTGTCCGGAGAGAGGGGCCGCGCTGGCTCCCTCGAACGCTTCATCCACATCGCGGATCATAACCATCTCGGATGCAGCAGAGCCGCCCCCCTCCCGCGCCGCCGCCTTGACCTCGTCTGCTACGCCAAAGGCGCCCTTGTTGCCGCGGCACGCAAGGATGGTGACGGGACCGCTGAAGGCGACGGGCCCTGCCTCACCGGGCACCGTCACCCCTGCAGCAAGCTCGGCCAGGCGGCTCGCGTAGAATGGAGAGTGCAGCAACATGCGCAGAGCGATGGCCTTGAGCGACTCGAGCTGAAAGGCGTTCACCCGCACCCACACGATCGGCTTCGCCTCCTCAAACACGCGCGCGATCATCTCGCCTGGCCCGCCGTAGGAAGGGTAGGCGGGCGGGACGACCTCGACGCAGTGCTCGCGGCACTCAGCCTGCAACGCCTCGATCGAGGCGCCGCCCTTCGCCGCGTCGGCCTCGAAGATGGGGATGAAGGGCCGGTTCGAGGCAAGCGCCGCGTACAGCTCGCGGCGACAGTTGAAGCTCTTGAAGTAGCCGGCGCTGAGGAAGACGAGAAAGGTCATTGCGTCAGCTACTGACTCCTCGAGCCTGCCCACGTCCTCGAGGTTATCGACGTCGAGCCAGATCCGGACGCCGGGCAGGAGAAGCTGGAGCTGGCGCACGACGGTGTGGGTCTGGTCCTGGCCGGTCCCCCACGCGTGCGAGATGAAGCCGTGGAAGTGGCATTCGGGGCACAACTCGAGGGCGGGAGGGCGACCGGTCGAGGCGAGGCGGATGGTGGGCATGCGGACGGCGCTGACTGTCTTGAAGAGGACGACGAGTAGCGACGCGGCCAGCATCGCGGCGGTGAGCACGATCACAAACTCACTCGCTCCGCGCGCGCTGTCGAAGCCGACGAGGGTGTAGCACATGCCCTCGTAAGCGGCACTCGCGCCCGGATCCGGGCAGAGCTGAATCACGATGCCCGAGATGAAGCAGCACAAGAGCAAGAGATTGGCGGTGCACGCGAGGTAGAGGTCATCGGTGCGCTTGAAGGGCCGGGCGAGGGCGAGAGCGGTAAGGTAGAGGCCCGAGACGACAGACGCGATGATGAGGCGGAGGAGCTTGGACGACCCGGTGTTTGTTTGGATGAAGAGCACCAGCGAGGCGAGGAAGAGCCTGCGGCTCAGATCGACGACCTCCCAGAAGAGGATGCCCGGGTCGTAGTCGCGCCAGAGGAAGCGGCTGGCTCGGGCGAGAGAGCCAACGCGCTGCGCCCGCACCTCGGAGCGGATCCAGAGGAGCAGCGCGAGGAAAGCGAGCGGGACGAGCACCGGCCAGAGGACGAAGAAGGCCCAGAAGTACGCGTCGAGGCCGCTGTACTCTTCGTCGTCAGCGCCGCAGAGCACATCGAGGTCGGCCACGAGGTAGCTGCGCTTCTCCCCGGTAATGTCGTTGAAGGCAAACGATTCGCACTGCTCCACCTTCAAAATGGTGCGAGAGACTGAGGGGAGCACGAGATAGGCGACGAGGATGGCCCAGTAGAGGATGCGGCGCAGCGTGGCACGGACAACGTCGCGACGGAGGTCGTCGGCGCGACCAGACATAAGCCACTCTGCGAGGGCGTGGCAGGCAAGGGCGGCGCCTCCAAGCAAAATGGCAACGAGAGGCCACAAGCCGGCGACCATGAGCCGGACTCGCATCGAGCCCATGCAGGCGCCCGGGTAGGTGAGGCCGATAACGTCGAAGCTGAGCGAGTCCATAAACTTGGTCCAGCGCGTAAAGGCCTCGTTGAGGCGGACGCCGTAGACAGGACCGAGCGTCGTAGCGATCTGGTAGAAGCCGACCAGGACCTTGAACTTGGGCTGGAAGCCGACCTGTGGCAAGGTGTACAGGTTGTTGGTGTATAAGGTGTAGTGTGGACGGGCGAATTCCATCCTATGCGGCGAAAAGCCTCTAGGCAAGTAAGGTGCAAGAGGCGCCGCGGTTGCGTGTGCGCGTGAGTTGTGGGGTGGGGCCTCGTAGCCAACCTGCGACTCGATGATGTCAACACGTGCTCTGAAGCGGCCCCACGCCTCGGTGCTGACGAGAGCACGGTGCGAGAGGAGCACCGCCCCTGCGAGAGCGACGATGACTCCCGCCAGGATGCCGAACCGCCCCGTCGTCGGGCAGTCGACGCAGCCTGACTCCGCGCGGCTGAAGTACTGCTCGTCGCTCACGCACCACTCGCAGCGCGGGCCCGTGTAGCCGAGATCGCAGCCCTCGCCGGCGCTGCCAGGAGCCGCCAAGCCGAGGCGGGAGGAATCCGCCTCCCCCGCACCGCCCGAGCCGCTGCAGTGGTCGGAGGCGTCGCACGCGTGAATCTCGGTGGTGAGGAGCGAGGCGCGCCAGTTACCGCGCGGGACGACGAGGGTCTCGAGAGTAGTGTTGGTCGCGCAGATGGCGTTTGGTGGGCACGCCTTGCAGTGCTTGGTCGGGAAACGGAAGACGTCAACCGGGAGGGCGGTCGCGTCCTGCAGGTAGAAGCCCTCCTTGCACACGGAGCAGGTGACGCTGCCGCTCCCGCTTGTACTGAGGGGGTGAGGGCAGGGGGTGCACTCGCCCATGCCGCGATTGGCGGCATAAAAGCCAGCAGCACACTCGACACATGACCCGGCTGCTTCAGCTGAAGAGAAGCCAATGGGGCACGGGCCGCCGCAGACGCTGCTCGACTGGTCCTCAGTGTCGGTCGAGCTGTTGAGGCCGGCGGCGCAGGCAAAGGGGAAGTCCTGGTTGACGGGCAGCAGCGGCAAATGGTAGAGGCTTTTGCCGAGGAGGGAGTGATCGCCTCTGGTCAAATTCCAGTTGCAAGGCTGCACGAAGGTCGGGGCCTGGCAGTACCACGAATCGCTGGCGTTGCAAGCCGCCCGCGTTTCGTTATCGGTGTGCCTGTCACAAGCCGCCTCCTTCTCGCCCGATGAAGGCTCGATCGCATCGCTCTCCGTAAGCGCGCAGTCGTCGCGGTGCTCGAGGCAAGCCGTCTGCTTGCACACGCCGCGCTCGTCGCAAGCCTGTAATAGCTTGCACCATCGCCTCTGGTCAACAACGTTGTTGCTGCACGAGGGGTAAGAGCACGCCTTCCGGTACACCTCGCAGCGCGCGTTTGGCAGCCAGCGGCCGGCCGGGGCGGGGAGGGTGTAGGAGACCTCGCCAAGAAGGAAGATGGAGCTCCCCTGACCCTCGGCAGAGCAGCCGCTGATGAGGGTGCCGTCGCTCAGGGAGGTGCTTCCGCCCGCCGAGTAGAGGCCGCCGCCAGACTCTGTGGCGATGCAGTTGGAGATGGTTGAGCGGGCCAGGCTGGCTGAGCCCGAGACCACGTAAACTGCTCCGCCTCGCGTGGCTTTGCAGGCAGAGATAGTGGAGTCGGTCACGATGAGGTCGGTGTCCCACGTGTATGTAGCTCCGCCGTCCTGCGAGAGGAGGGGCGAGAGGCAGCTGTGACTCTCTTAACCTTGTCTTCTCTTGTGGGCGGTGTGGCACGAGGAGAGAGCGGGGTGAGGCAGCTCCGTGGCCCTCTCTGTCGCTCGCCCCGCTGCCGTGCTGCGCTGCAGGGAGGGCATCTAGCTCTATGCGGCGCATATTGCGAGCCAAGCAGCTCGTCACGTTCGAGCCGATTATCGAGACCGCACCGCTGTCCTCCGCGTAGACGACGCCGCCGCGCTGGTTGCGAGGAGGAGCGGGGTGAGGCAGCCGTGTCCCTCTCTATCTCTCGCCCCGCTGCTTGCTGTGCGGCGCGGGAGGGAGAGCGGCTAGCTCTACGCGGCGCACATCGCCAGCCGAGCAGCCCGTCACAGTGGAGCCGATTATCGAGACCGCACCGCTGAACTCCGCGGAGACGACGCCGCCGTCCTGCGGTTGCGAGGAGGAGCGGGGTGAGGCAGCCATGTCCCTCTCTATCACTCGCCCCGCTGCCGTGCGGCGCTGCAGGGGTGCGGCTATAGCTCTACGCGGCGCACATGCACCGCTGAGCAGCCCGTCACGGTTGAGCCGGTTATCGAGACCGCACCGCTGTACTGCGCGTAGACGACGCCGCCCTCCTGCGGTTGCGAGGAGAGAGCGGGGTGAGGCAGCTGTGGCCCTCTCTATCTCTCGCCCCGCTGCCGTGCGGCACTGCAGGGAGGCGGCTAGCTCTACGCGGCGCACATTAGCCGAGCAGCCCCTCACATCCGAGTCGATGATCTCGACGTCGCCTGCGCCGTCCGCCTCCACAACGCCGCCGTAATCCGCCTTCCCGTTGACGAGCGTCAGCCCCCGCAAGGTGAGGCTGCAGCCGCCCGAGAGGTAAAAGAGCTTGGTCAATTCCTGGCCGTCGAGCGTCGCTCCCTCTCCGCTGCTCGCGACGGTCACCTTGATGGTGGAGGTGCAGCTGATCTCGCTGCTCAGCTTGAAGTCTGCACTGGGCGGCAGGTAGATGGAGATGTTGACAGCATCCCCCTCGATCAGGGAGCGGAGCAGATCCTCGCTCGCCGCGGCGACATCGAAGCCGGGGAAGGCCGGCGGCAGCGGGGGCAGCGGGGGCAGCGGGGGCAATGCTGGCGGCAGCGGAGGGGGGGGCGGCAGCACGCACGCTTTGTATCCAGCGCCAGGCTGATAATCTGGCGTCGTGCCTTTCAGGAACTGACACCAGCAGGTGCCGCTCCCCGAAGATGGTAAATTGGCAATTTCGCAGCCGGCAGCAGTTGCTAGCTCGATGCATGCGGCAGGCGAATCGGCGTACTCCATCGCATATTCGCCATCGGTGTTGCTGATCGAAGTAACCCAGTCGCACGTACTCCACGACAGAGGTGGTGACAGAGGTGGTGACAGCGACGAGAGTGGCGGCGGCGGCGGTGGTGACGGCGGCGGCGGAGGTGACGGCGGCGGCGGAGGTGACGGCGGCGGCAGTGCACATGCCAGCGGGAGCAGCGCAACGAGAAGAAGCAGCCACGCGCCGCGCTTCGACCCCGTCCGGCACCGCACACCGAAGCGCGGCGGCCACATCCACTCGCTCAGCAGCACGCCGCCGCACGCTTCGAGCAGCAGGAGAAAGAAGGCGGACCAGGATTGACCGCGCTGCCGGGCGCGGCCAGGCGCGGACGAGGAGTGCCCGTGAAGGTTGTTTGCTCGCGTCGGTCCGACGTCGCCGGTATGCACGTCGATCGCGCCGTCCGCAGGCCACGGTTGTGTCCCGCCACCGAAGTCGCTGCCAGTCCCGAGGAGCAGCCCAACTGGCTGCAACGGCCCGGTGTACATCACCACGTCACCAACCGAGCTCGTCGTTTGGTCACCGAGGAGCGGTCCGAAAGCACGCCTCAAATTCCAGGACGTGCCACTGGATGCATCCCTCTGCGAAAATATGCAGCCGTTACGGCGTGTTGCAACCCCTCGCGGTAAAACACCATCATGTCACCCTTCACGGGTGACAGCAAGCATTTTTGTTGAGTATATGAGCGACCCACCTCGAGGGTTGCTCCTGACTCTGGCCTTTTCTGGGTCATGTAGCCACACCTCGCCTCCTTGGTGCGAGTGGCTGCCCGTTCGACTCTGGGGAGGATCGAACCATCAACATGGATGGTACCGGTGAGATAGATCTCCCACAGGTCGACGGCGGTCTGCGAAGATTTGAGTCCCTTCGTGTGTGAGCTACGAAAAAGATCGAAAATAGTGCCCAAGGTAACCCGGGGGAACTCGCGTCCCGGAACCTCTGCCCTACCTCGAAACACGGCGGTATCGGATATACATTGCGCTGCTGCGCTCGAGATCGAGCTCCGGGAGGCCGCGCGGAGCTTCCAGGACGGGCTGCCGACGCTGATACTACATCTCCAATCCAATCACTCAGCGATCGCTGCGAGCCTCGCACGCGCCGCACGCGCCGGTGCCGGCGCATCACACCTCAGCCTCGAGGGGCCGGTTCCGCCGCGCAGTCGAGCAGCAGGAGCTCGGGGGCAACTTTGTCGACAAACATGGTGAGGAAAATTTCGGTGAGGGAGCGGCACCGGCGGCACGCCGGGACGAACCCGGACCGGTCATATTGTTCAGATCCACGGCGGCGAGCCGCCGCGAGCCCACCGGAGAAATGGGAGCCGCGGCACTAGACCGCGCCGCCAGCGAGGCGAGAGCAGCAGCCAACGACCGGCCGTGACATGGCAGTTAGAACGGCGGGATTTTCTTCCAGCATAGGGAGGAAAAATCGCGCCGCAGGCGCACACACACAGGCAGGGAGGAAGGGAGAAGTTCAGCTCTAGAGAGGCCGGTTCTAGCGAGCGGACTCGGGGCCGGTGCTTTGACGCAGCACAGTGTGCTTCGTGGTAGCATGAACTCAGAACGGCCCCCCGAGAGCGCCTCTTCGACGCCCACGGGTCCCGGGGGGTCGGAGGGGTTGCGAGAGGGCCCCGGCTATTTTTTGTTTGAATCCCGGAGGCCGTTCGAACATGAATTGACGTTCCACGTGCCCGTCCCCACGGCAAGGACAACATGCTAGCCCAGCAGGCCGCTCCCACCGCCGCCCGCGGCGGAGGCAAGGCGGCAAAGGGTGGCAAGGGCGGCGGCAAGGGCGGTGGCAAGGGTGGTGGCCGTGGCGCACCAGACCCGCTTTGCGCCGCCGCCCTCAACGCCCGATATACTCGGTTAGAGCCGGCGGAGCGACGGCGGCGGAGACACGCCACGAAAAATGCCACGCCGGTCTCGGGCACCGCACCCGTGCTGCCACAAAGCACAATGTGCTGCCACAAAGCACCACTAGCGATTTCGCGCGGAGGGCGTAGTGAAGTGCTGGGGCGCTCATGTCGAGGAGGAAGTCTTCACTATGCCCTATAGGGAGGGAAAATCGCGCCGCAGGCGCACACAGGCAGGGAGGAAGGGAGAAGTTCAGCTCTAGAGAGGCCGGTTCTAGCGAGGCTCCCGGCGTGGCGCGAAAATATGCATTTTTCGAGGCATAGGGAGGAAAAATCGCGCCGGCCGCAGGCGCACACAGCTCACACACAGGCAGGGAGGAAGGGAGAAGTTCAGCTCTAGAGAGGCCGGTTCTAGCGAGGCTCCCGGCGTGGCGAAAATATCTCTGTTCTAGCAACAGGCTCCCCAAAAGAATAACGGGAAAGGCGCACTGGCAGACAAAAAATTTAGAAAAAAGATTTCACAAAAGAAAACTGAGTCAATGGGGCCTGGCCATGACGCTGCGGCTGGCGGCCTTGCAGCTCATCGCCATCGCGCCCGCCCGCTGCTACCACACTGAGCTTCATCATCTCGGACCGCGGCGCCTTCTCGGACCGCTCCGGGCCGCCGTCGTCGCGACCGAGGAGGACCGGTCAGAGGCGGTGCCGACAGCCGCTACCGGCGGCTTTGGCTCCGCGGACGGCGGCGCACGTGGCTTCGGCGAGTGGCAGGAGGAGGACGAGGACGAGGATGAGGAGATTGACAGCGGCATGACTCCGGAGCAGCGCCGCGCGTGGCGGCGCACCGTGATGACGCGGTGGGCCAAGCTCGTGCAGGAGAAGGGCGGCGACGCGGGCGCGGAGGGCGGAGAGGTGGTCGCCGCGTTCGACCGCGTCTCGCTCCGCCTCGGCGAGCGCCTCGTCCTCGCGCCACAGTCGTGGGCCGTGCGGCGCGGGCAGCGACTCGGCGTGCTCGGCGAGTCAGGCTGTGGCAAGTCGATGCAGCTCCGCCTGCTCGCTGGCGAGGCGTCGCCGTCGGAGGGCGCAGTCGTGCGCGGTGAGGCGGCTCATCATATCTCGGCTGCATCTCGGTTGAATCTCGGCTAGATCTCGGCCGCATCTCCCACAGGCCCAGCGGTGCGGGTCGCACTGGTCGACCAGGACGCGCCCAGCCGCCTCCGCGCCTGTCGCCTGCTGGTGTCGGCCTTTGCGCGGGAACAGCTCGCCGGCAGCAGTGGAGAGGAGGGCGGCGGCGGCGGCGGCGGCGGCGGGGCGATGAGGTGCGAGGGCGAGTCGCCCGTGGCGTGGGAGTCGTTTGTGGCGCTGCTGCCGGAGGAGCTGCGACGGCCTGCGGCGCTGGAGGCATATTCGATTCGATTCGATTTGTATTCGATGCGCCCCTCTCCTCGCTGTCGCACGGCCAGCTTCTCACACGCGCCCGCCGCCACCACTCACCTCACACACACCACACTGCACACCACACTGCACACCACACTGCACACCACACTGCACACCGCACCGCACCACACCGCACCACGCCGCACCACGCCGCACCACACCACACCGCACCACGCCGCACCACGCGGCGCACTGTGGCCAGTCTGCAGAGTCGCTGTGACCAGGCGCCCCTCTGCTCGCTGTCGCACGGCCAGCTCGTACGCGTCTCGACGGCTCTCGCCTCCTAGAAGCGGAACACGGACTCTTGAATTCCCACCAGCGCTCGAGAGGACACGCACTCCGCCGTATTCGGCCGTAGTCGGCCGTATTCACTGCATTCGTATCCCGTGTACTCACGCGGTGCTCTGAGGACGCTGCACGAGACCGTGTTTCCGCCCTGAGGCCGGCGTATGAGCCATGCAGGCGCTCGCCGTGGCGCAGAAGCCCAACGCCGGCCGTGAACGTCCAAAGGACAGATGGTTTTATCGCGAGGGCACCGAGCGGCGGAGGAGCGGCTCCCTCCTGTCTTGAGACCTCGAGCCTCCTCGAGAGTCGCCTCGACTAGGCACCGAGTGGCTCGAGCGGCTTGTCCTGTCGGAGATGGGCCACGGCGGAGTGGTCGTCGTCTCGCACGACCGCGAGGTGCCCGAGAGTCGACGAGATGCGCCGAGATGCGCCGAGATTCGCCGAGGGGCCCGAGAGGAGCCGAGAGGAGCCGAGAGGAGCCGAGATTCGTGCGCCGAGATTCGCCGAGGGGCGTCGTCTCGGCCGTGCAGGTGCTCAACGCACCTCCTCCGATCCGCGAGATCTCCCCACATCTCCTCACATCTCCCCACATCTCGCCGTGCATGAGGCCTCCCTCGTTGCCCCACATCTCCCTCAGACCTCCCCACACCTCCCCACACCTCCCCACACCTCCCCACACCTCCCCACACCTCCCCACATCTCCCCCACATCTCCCCCACATCTCCCCACATCTCCCCACATCTCCCGCGAGGTGCTCGACCGCCTCTCGACGCACCTCCTGCACTCCGCGGGCGGCCACGGGGAGCTGTACGCAGGCGCATATCTCCCCACATCTCCCCGCATCTCCCCGCATCTCCCCATACCTCGGCCACGGGGAGCCGTACGCAGGCGCATATCTCCCCACATCTCCCCGCATCTCCCCATATCTCCCCATACCTCGGCCACGGGGAGCCGTACGCAGGCGCATATCTCCCCACATCTCCCCGCATCTCCCCATATCTCCCCATACCTCGGCCACGGGGAGCCGTACGCAGGCGCATATCTCCCCACATCTCCCCGCATCTCCCCATATCTCCCCACACCTCGGCCACGGGGAGCTGTACGCAGGCTCGTACTCCACTGACTTCAGCTGCACTCGACCGCATTCAGTTGTATGCGCTGCACATGCACGCGGCGCTCTGATGACGTCGGCGTGTCTTCACCGTGCAGGCTCGTACTCGGACTTTCTGCGCCGCGCCGCGCTGCAGCGCGAGGCCATGGAGCAGGTGGAGAGCGACGCCTCGCCGGCTGGCGAGGAGGAGGGAGGAGCGCTCTCCCAAATGCCTTGTCCGTGACTCACGTCCACATCTGACACATCCTCCTTCCTCTCATCTCTACACACCACTCACCCTCGTCATCCTCATTCACGCTACTCACACCGCACGCACGACTCTCCTCACCTCCGCTCCTCTAGGCGTCTTACCTCCGCCTCTCCCCGACACCCTCCGCCCGTCGCGCTTCCAACTGCTGACGGCGGCGACGCCAACGGCGCGCGCCAAATCTCGGCACTGCCCCTGCCAGTCCTCGGCCCCTCGCGATCTCGCGCGATCTCGGGTAATCTCCAAGATGCCCCGCGCAAGTCATGGTTCGAAAACCAGGCGAGGCGCGCCAAGCGTGCGCGGCGAGGCGCCGCGGCGGCGGCGGGCACGGACGCGATGCTCGCGCTTCGAGGCGCGTCGCTGTCCTTTGAAGCCGCGCCGGAGGGGCGCGGCGCTGGAGGCGCTGCGGGCGGCGCTGGAGGCGCTGCGGGCGGCGCTGGAGGCGGCGCTGCGGGCGGCAGCACGGGAGGCGGCGCTGGAGGCGCTGGAGGCGGCGCTGGAGGCGGCGCTGCGGGCGGCGCTGGAGGAGGCGCTGGAGGCGGCGCTGCGGGAGCCGGCGCTGGAGGCAGCGGATCGCGCGGGCTCTCCGAGGTGTCTTTCGAGGTGCGGCGGGGGCGGGGTGGTCGCCCCGCGAGCCAGAGACACCCGGGAAGCCACACTCGCGCCGCTACACTGCCTCCTCCGCTCGCGCCACCATGCTCCTTCACCTCTTGAGCCTGACCGGCGCGAGGAGCGGGGGGAAGAAGAGTGGCCGGGAATAGGTGCGGCGGGGCGAGGTGCTCCTCCTCGTCGGCGCGAACGGCGCCGGCAAGTCGACCCTGCTGCGTGTGGCGGCGGGCGAGTGGCCGCTGCTGGCGGGCGAGGTGGCGCGGAATTGCGACGTGCGGCCTTTCTTCCTCACGCAGGACGCGAACGATTACTTCATGAGCTCTCCCCACACTCCTACATCTCCCCGCATCTACCCGTATCTCCCCACATCCCGCCGTACCTCCCCATAGATCACCCGAGATCACCCGAGATCACCCGAGATCACCCGAGATCACCCGAGATCACCCAGCGCAGGACGCGGCGCACCGCGTGAGCGGTGGAGCGTCGGCGTGGGAGTGGATCTGCGGCGAGGCGGCCGGATTGGGCGAGGGGGCGGTGCGGCGCGCGTTGCGTCAGATGGGTTTACCTTATCTAGATGCCAGACCCGCAGCTCGGCCGTCTCTGGATGCACTGCCGCCGCTCTCGCAGCCCTCGCACACTCACGCGAGGCTCTGAGTACCCTGCACGAGGCTCGTTCCCCCCGCACAGTCCCCCGTGTTGATGCGCCAGGCTTCCCGGCCACCGCGCAGCGCAAGCCCGTCTCAGCCCTGTCTGGCGGCGAGCGCACGCGTCTGTGCATCGCGTCGATGCTCCTCTCGCGCGCGAACTTGCTCGTGCTGGCGCGCCGCCGCCCTCGCAAACACTCCTGCCCTCCTGCCCTCCTGCCCCCCCCCCCCCCCTTTATACCGCCGTCCTGGACCAAGACCCCCATCTCCGGCTGCGCCCCCCCCCCCCGTCCCTCCACAGGCCCCCCCGCCCCCCCCCAACCCCACCACCCGTGAACCCCGGGCCCCACCCCCCCCCCACTTCACCCTCCCCCCCCCCCCCCCACCCGCCCCCCCCCCCCCCCCCCCCCCCCGCCGCCCCGCTCACCCCCGACCCCCCCCCCCCCCCCGCCCCCCCCCCCCCCCCCCCCCCCCCCACCCCCCCCCCACCCCCCCCCCACCCCCCCCTTACTCCCCCCCCCCCCTATGCCCCCCCCCCCCTCCCCCCCCTCCCCGCCTCCCCCCCCTGCCCCCCCCCAACCCTCCCCCCCCCCCCCCCCCCCCCCCCCTCCCCCCCGAACCCCCCCCCCCCCCCCCCCCCCCCCCACCCCCCCCCCCATTTCCCCCCCCCCCCCCCTCCTACCCCCCCCCGCCACTCCCCCCCCCCCCCCCCGCTTCCCCCCCCCCTCGCCCCCCCCCGCCCCCCCCCCCCCCCCCCCCCCCCCCCCCCCCCCCCCTATTCGGCCCCCCCCTTCCGGGTTGGTTTCGCCTGGCACAGCGGCTCCCCGGCACCCAAGCCAGCGATGATTCACGGCTACCGCGTCTTGCTCAGCGGGCAAGAGAGGCGAAAGCAGGCAAGACCAGCATATGACGCTGCACCTCCCTCTGCGTGCAGGACGAGCCGACCAACCACCTCGACTTGCGCGCGCGAGAGTACTTGGGCGACGCGCTCCGGTCGTTCGACGGCGCGGTGCTCCTCGTCTCGCACGACCGCGCCTTTGCCGCGCACGTCGCCACGCGGGTGGCCGAAGCCTCTAGAAGGATGCGGCCTCCCTGCCTTCCTCTCGGCTGCGTTCCATCGTGTGCTCGCGCGAGGCTGTATTCGTATCGCTGTCTATGCGCCGCATGCACGGCATGATGCACCGTACTCGCACCCTGACCTTCGCGTCTTCGCAACGCAAGGTGGCCGAGCTGCGCGGCGGGCGGCTTCACGCCGAGCAGGGCGACTACCGCGCGTACATCGAGCGACGCGACGAGCTGCGCGCGCGGATCGACCGCCGCGCCGTGTCCGCGGGGTTGCCGGCCGAAGGAGGCGAGCGCGGCGGCACAGACGGAGCCTCGTCCGATCGCCCGTCCAAGCGGGCTGCCCGGCGGCGGCGGTCCTCGAGGTGATTGTGAGAGGTAAAGAGCCGCGTTCAGGCCGGCCGTAGTGTGAGGGTTGTTTTTGGGGAGAGGGCGGCCCCCGCAAGCTCGCAGGTTGAGTGGAGGAGAAGCTCAGTCGACGGCAGAGGCCGGAGCTCCGTCTCCCGGCCCCCGCGTTACCCGCCGTTCTACCTAGTTCCTGTAGGTCTCCGTTATCTCATATCAATATGGGACGATGCTGAAAAGCCAGAGAACTCTCCCCCAACATGCAACAATTCACTGTACAATACGTATCGTGAGGGCTAGACCCGGCTACTCAGACCACCCCCCCTCGAGGAAGTGAGAACTGCTCGGCTCACCCTGATCACACATGCTGATTGCTGAACACACAAGCTCCTCTTTGTAGCTCGATCGCTGAGCCCTGCCCCTGGTCTGACAGCACGACACTCGACAGCAAACCCCGGACAGCGCCTGACAGTGCCCGACAGCCTGACAGCGTTGACAGCACTTTCTCTGACAGCCTGACAGCACGTATCTGACAGCCTGACAGCAGAGCCTGACATCAGAGGTGACCCGTCGCTGTCAGGCCCTAACGTGACAGCCTGACAGCTGCCCGACAGCCCGACAGCACACAGTGGCCTGACAGCAGCGCTGACAGCCCGACCTGAGCCCGACAGCCCGACCAGCCCGACAGCAGCACAGACCGTACACAGGCCGTGCAGCCTCTTTCTTGTGCCCCATGAGGGTATAACAAAACTATTACATGCAAAGACATGTGAGTGTGGTCTATCTAGTCATGGGATGGTCATGGGTCTCTCTCTCAACCCTCTCCCGCCCCACCTCTGCGGACCCGCGGCTGTGCTACTACAAATTATGAAGCTACCAGCTAGCCTTCTGGGGCCCTACATGCCTACGGCGTCTGGGTGGTGGTGGCCGCCGCCGTCTGTGCCGCCGCCGCCATCTGCGCTCCCCCCAGGCGGCCGCCGCGGCCGACGGCACGGTAGACGCGCGCCGCGCCACTGGCAGCTCGAGCGCAGAGTACCTGCGCCAGCTCTCGATGAGTCAGCGCAGCAACGGGGTCTTCATCAACGACCCCAAGGGCCTCTTTATCCTCCGGTTGTACCGTGAGGTGAAAAGGGTGACGGGACCCCCCCAGACGGCCCGCGCTACCAGAACAGAGCGTGCAAGTACTACAAGCTGACGAGCGACAACGATGGGGAGGCCTTCCGCTGGACCAGCAACTACCAGATCATCAGCAAGGTGTACCTGAAGAAGCACTCCCCCCTGCCTCTCTGCTATTCTCTCAGTGCGGCAGACAAGAAGATGGTGACGTCCACCATGAAGAAGA